CTATGAGCTCGATACGATTTCTCACATCACAACAAAACAAGGGCCGGGAACATTTCTGCTGCACATTCATCAGGCAAAGCGGAGCGATACTGGAGTTTACTATTGTTTAGAAATAAACACACTCACTGTGACACTAAAGAAATCGACATTTCTGATAATTGAAGGTAAATATGATTCATATAAGTAGTTTATGTATAAAACGGTGTGTAGTTAATGGGAAAGTCATTTTATTCATAAATGAACAGTGCTTGTGTTCATTAAAGCATATTTATTATGTCTTCATTTCCAGGACCAGAAGCCGATGTCCCCGTAATCACTAAAAGCGCTCCAGCAGATCCCGTCCGTCCAGGAGACTCAGTGACTCTGAAGTGTTCCGTCCTCTCCGTCTCTGAGGAGACGGAATGTCCAGAAGGACAGAAGGTGTTCTGGTTCAAAGCCGGCTCGGATAGATCTCCTCCACATGTGATTTATGTCCATGGAAACCGGGATGGATGTGAGCAGAGTCCTGAGGCTCCCCCTCCACACAGATGTGTCTACAGCTTCTCTAAGAACATCAGCTCCTCTGACGCCGGCACGTATTACTGTGCCGCGGCCACATGTGGACAGATGCTACTTGGAGAAGGAACAACACTGGAAACTGAAGGTACCGATAAATCATTAATACCGATCCTGTATCACAAAGTGAGTGCGCGTGATGCCCGACTTCACCGGGTCGTCATAGTTTTTATACAGACTCTGATTATTTGCTGGTCTTCTTTCAGCCCCCCTCATGTGGGATTTGCAGGAGACGGTTCTGATCGTCCTGTCAGCAGCTCTGGCTTTTTGTCTGCTTGTTGTCGTCTTCCTGATGTTTATTATCAAGAGGAAAACTTGTCAATGCTGCAACGGTAAAATATGTTTCTCAGTTTGCTTCAAAAGCTTCCAGAGTCTTTCCTCCTAAAGATCTGCTTCTTTTTATGAAACAGATGCAGTTACTCCTCAAACAGCCGGCTGTGACCCCCGAGGTCAGCAGGTGGGTTCATAGAGAAAATGATGTTATTGATGTTTCAATATGCTGTTAAATATGCTGTTTCATAATACTTTCCATCTGCTCAGAGAGATCAAGACCTTCTGACTTATTCTGCACCAACCTTCACCGCCAGGAAAACAGTCCGAGCAGAGAGAGAGAACGCTGAAGCAGCAGCAGAGACCGTCTACGCTGGTGTCAGGACTTAGTGATACATTAACAACATTGTTCTATTATTAGACATAAAGTCAATTTAGTTGTTGATATTCTGCTTCAAATGTGTTATTGATTCATGTCATTTTATTCCTATTAGTTACAGTCTTTTACTTTGAAAACCTTTGAAAACTCGTTTTATTTTGATGAGTTGTGATGATTTTTGTTGCTTCATTGTGCAGCTTCTCTTGATTCTTTTATAATGATGTGAACCTCAGATAGTCAGAGGTCTGAGGGATGTTTCCAACTGGGTCTCGTCTGTAACGACGTAAACTTCTGCTGTTTGCATCGATGAAAGGTTTCCCTCTTCTCAAAGGGTTTCTCTTTTCTCATAAGGGTGAAATCATGATTTGATTCATTTGAAAATAACTTTAGTAGCTGATCTTGTATAAGACAAACATTTTGTCTGATACCACACTGACCTCTGACTACTCTTAAGAGATTTACATCATTTTCATTCATTCTTCTTGGAGAAAAGGCTCCCATTTGCTTGTGGAAAAGAAACTAATTACTGTATAATTAGATTAAGCATGAAGAAAATCATCAAAAACAAATAAAAACCTTTTTAATTCCTTTAAACATGTTGGTATTTTTGTGCTGATAAGTTCAGGTGGTAAATCACAGACGTGATGGTTGCTGTGTAAAGCTGGAGCTGTATAAATATAACGTCATATATGATATTTAGTGCTGGGTTAGTGGCGTGGTAGTTGGTTAGAAGTTGTTGGTTTGTGTGCGATTAGCATCACTAAGGGAAGGACGCTGTGGACCAGCTCGGTGTGGCCAGCGTGTGCGTTGAGGAAGAGGAGAATAAGGAGCCAATCAAAGCAGCCACGAGCGCTTTCTGCTGAGCAAACGTGATCCGATTAGACCACAACAGTAAATAATCATTTTTCAAATGTAAAATGTAACTTAAACGAGATGAAGCCATGCAGTGAAATGAGCGTTTTTTAGAGACAGTCAATGTTTCCAGAACATGTGTCCTAATAGAATTATGGATCCCCAGCTTTTCACTTTGCCTCTGAAAAGTGGACCTTTGTGCTTTTGAGTGGCGTCTCTGCTGCCGGTAATGATGGTAAATGATGCTTGTAGCTGGTTGTCATTTACGGTCCACTACGGTTACATAAAGGTGTCGTTTGTGTTTTCACGTTTTCTCTCATCATTTCGACTTTGCCTCACTCGGGCCAATCCAAAGACGTGTTTGTAACCAATCAGGTGTAGAGACCATGGTGTGGTGGTGGGCGTGGTTTGGCTCGGCTGCAGGGGGGGACTGAGAAGGGAGTGGGTCAGGGAACGGTGCCGGGGGAGGCAATTGGCCTCAGCTGATGTTAATCAGCATTTGGTATTCTGCTGTTAAGTAGGAGAGATGCGGCGACAGCGAGAGAGCGAGCGAGGAGGCTGGAGCCGGCTGGTGTGAACAATCAATAAAAAATTTACAATGGACCCGACTGCCTCGTGCTCATCATTCCAAGATCCCCCCAGAGGACCAACCTGTGACACATGGTGACTGGCTCCGCCCCCTTACTGTCAAAAAGAACAACAAAAACCTTCTCTCTTTTAGTCCTGTGCCTTTGTGGAAGGAGGGAACAGCCGGCTTTAACACGCCTTCTGGCCATTACGAGTACCTCGTGATGCCTTTCGGCCTAACCAACGCTCCGGCGGTGTTCCAGGCCAAAGTCAGCGCTGTGGCTCAGTGGCCTACACCTGATAACCGCAAGAATGTTCAGCAATTCCTGGGTTTTGCTAACTTCTACAGGCGGTTTATCAGAAACTTCAGCGCCATAGCAGCTGTTGAATCTCCAGTGCGTTCGTGTGATGGCGCTCTGCTCCTGCCCTTCACCGTAGGGTCATCATTGGGGAGGGGAACTAAGAACTGGTTTCAGTGGACAAACTGGTTTTAAACTGTCCAATCCATCACAATTAAAAGACTCTAAGTATGTAACTCCTCTGATGTTAGCATGCTGATGTTAGCATGTTGATCTTAGCATGTGTCACAAGGTCCAGATCCCTTTGTTGTTGACTCAGAAGGAACCGCGGCCTTGAGACAGAAACACTCAATGAATCCTCCGAGCAGCCTCAAGCCTCCTCCTCGAAAAATCAATGTGTGACATACCAGTCAGACAAAACCCTTAATACGTCTTTCAAATCTACACGGTATAAAAGTCCTTGCGACATCCTCTGCGCTGTAGAAACCCTCCATGAAACGCATGTATTTAGGTAGAAAGACGTTAGATTTCCTCTGTGGTGGTGCACATCAACACCACCGCTCTGAAACCGTCACCTCCCACTTGATACGAGGACATCGGGGTAAAACATGTGGTGATCAGTCTGAGTTCAGTCTCAAGTGGAACATCAGGAAAATGAGGATGGTGTCTTATTTGATTCTGAGCGCGGCGCGTAAGTACATGTAGAAATGTCCCATCTACTCCACATTCTGAAGTGTACTCATGTTCTCACGGTGTTGATGTGAGAATACACGGGACTCTCTGTCGTTGATGTGAATGATGTCTCCTCAGGATGCTCGGATCCGATGATGGAGACGAGGACTGTTGCTGTTGGAAGTGATGTGAAACTGAGTTGTGCCCGAGAGTCCTCAGGGAGCGTGTTTTGGATCAGACTTGTTTCTGGAAACGTTCCTGAATACTTGATGAAGTCAAATAGCTTTA